GGTCAAGTAACGAGTGTTTCTTGATCACCTGTAAGATAACTCCATAAATTCCTATTTCTCAAAGCTTGTGGCTTAAGAGATTTCCCTCTAACAGGCACTACCCTTTCATGTGATGGAACCCATTTTGAAGACAGACTATAAAATTTAATTCCTCACCAGTTCTACTGTAGTCGTAAGGAGGTACGAAGAGCTACTAATTAAAAAAAATCGTTCGACATCCGTTTAATTCAAATTGACCAAACATATGAAAGAAACCAAGCTCGGAGTGATTTAGGTTTTGGTAGGCCTGGACGAGATTCGATTTAAAACTTGTCCCTCGAAACGAAGTGCTTGGTAAGGTTAACGACTACATAATCTCCGCCTTTGAGAGTGAGCATTTTTTAACGAATACTTGTGTCAGTAGTACTTACTTCCACCATGACTTGATTATATTCAGCGAAGAAAGAGATGGAACAAGCCAGCCGTTTGGAAGAGAATATGCCACGTCCACGAACAATTTCGATGAACTCCTTTTCAGAGAATTCTGGGTCCTTAAGTGAAACGTTTCATTTATAAACAATTGGATTGGATACTTGGTAGGAGAATGACCGTTTTCTTATTCAGCACAGCGATTCGAAGAAAAAGCGCGAATGTCGAATAGTAAAGGCGCCAGGCCGCTTTCGAAACTGCTGGATCCCAATCAAATATCAGCCTATACTCATCCAATTCGAACTGCCTGAAAAAACCCAAGGTCAAGAATATTCTTCAGAGCTAAATGAATAAAACAAGAAAATTCCAATACCTAGGAAGTGCCTCCAGCACCTGATCGAATGCAGTCATAATTTTAGGATCGTAGACTACGGTACTCCAGAACTGTGCTGATGGGAGTTGAAGAATACGTTCGAATGTGAATGCCAACGTATTTGCCGCGTTTTGCCAAGCGCTCAATTCTGTCCTGGGTACGCCGTAGGCCAGGCGAGAGATAGAAGGGCATGTAGAGGGAACAACTAGCGACTCAGCCTAAATTCACTGATTTCTGAAATATTATATCACAGCACATGTCAAAGGATTAGCACAAGATCAAGCAAAATGCGTTACGCAGCACTGATATTACCCACATTGGGTCCAAACCATTTTTTAGTTGGTCTGCACACACATCTTCACGCAAAGCCCTTCTCCATTATATCCCATTTTTGGCAAAGATGGACGGATGGGCGGAGCCATTTTGTGGGTGAAGACATCTGTGAAGAAGCCTCCATTTTCAACCGTCCCAAAACGCTTCGACCATTTCACAATATCCCGAGAGTCTACAGAATGGACCATCAGCCAAACAAGAACAGCTCATCTCTACAGGTGAGCGCACTGCAGAAATGGTGCATCTTACTTCTTCTTGTGTTCCACGCTTATTTTGAAGGTCAACAGAGATATTTACGGCTACTCCAGATACCCCTCAAAATTCAAGACGACGTCTTCTCAAAGTTATTTAGCTCGGCATATCAAAATGTGTCATTGTCGCCACCTCTATCCGGCTATTTCAGTGATTTTATTTTAGAATTCATAAAACATTGCTCCATACAAACAAAAATTTCACGACCCACGATTTCAACAGATGGAGACGGGGGGATATATTCATGAAAAACAACAAAAAATGAAAATGATGAATATCTCACCAATTTCATTGTCGTAAAAAAGCTACCAACGACGAAGTCCTGGGAGCTGAGCCTTGACAGAAAAGCTAACGAAAGCCTGAATAATGGACTTTAGAACCGAAATTTAGTTTAAACTCCCAGGTAAAAATAAAAGGATAAAAGATCCATTATTCAATTATACTAACAAAAAAAATGAGCAATTTTATTACATATATCTAGGAAATTGTTCAATTGAACACCATAAAACAAACTTTCAAGACTCTCAAACAGAACAATTCAACAATATTTCTGCTGTACACAACAATGATAATAACAATAATCTATATCAATAATTTCAACAACCGCTTCAAACGATGCTTAAACTGTACAAAATAGAAATCGAAGTCGAAACAACGGAACTAGAACATGAAAATCCTAGTGCAACACGGCAGTGGTTGCAACCTAAACAGTTACAGAAAAAAGACACCAACGGGATCCTACAAGTCAAGTAACTGCGGAACCGCCATCCATATAGTATTTTTTTTTGGACTCCAGTGACTGATTGCGCTACCAGGAGAAACGATCGGGTTGCCGAATTACAATCGAATGAGTATGCGCAACCAATAACGATGGTCCAATATTCATGCGGCATACTGTTCCCTATTCCTATGGGCTTACTGAAGAGGTCACCACCATCTCGACAGGAGTGGGTAAAAGTGCCTGACACTCAGCCAAGCCCGCTTCCGTACTGAACCTACTTCATATGTATTACTCAAAAAAACAGCTGGCCCAAACGAGGCTACGCAGAACATGGCGTCAGCAAGGCACACAGCAATGAGAGTAATCATTTTGTACTTCTACTGACTAGTAAAGGGCGCCATTCGTTGCGGGACCCACTCCCTCAACCCGCGGGGATCCCAAGCGATCGCGGTTGGATTTGAACATTCCAGCTTCTCACGCATGTAAAGTGACTGCCCTCACCCCTACACGCCGCCCCACCTGGTAGGCAGGGTGCCCCTAGACTGGCGACACTGCCCCTGGCTCACGGATTCCCCGCTCCACATTGAAGGGTTCACTGTAGCAGGAGGCAGTGGGACCCGTAACGAATGGCGTCCTTTACTAGTCAGAAGGAGTACAAAACGATGCGTTCCTTCATGAAAGCATACCTTAAGGCCCCTTTACTTGGTTACAGTAAATTTTATTTCTACCCATCTTAGAAGATTTCTCCTCTAGTGGTGGCCACATCACCGTTACTGTACCGTGTAATGATTCCGGTAACCAGTCTAAATACTCTTCAAGCAGGTAGTTCTCGTTTTTCTTGAACTCTTCAACAAGTGCAGCCTTGGAGTGAACCTTAACAAATGCGAATAAGGACAAGCAGAGAAAAACGAATAGGGAAAAAAAAGGAAGACTGAAGGACATGAAGAAAATCCCACCTCTTTCAGTACCAAAGCATTAAGCAGACCCTCTGTACGCTTTTGCAGTTTCGCCCACGATCGGACCATTGTTGTGGGTGGCGCTAACATTTTTGTAACGAACTGGGCTAGCAATGGCATTACCTTAACGAAGTACTCATCATCACTGACTAAGCTTCAAAAAGACCTTGCGAAACCAAAATAATCTTTACCTGTCCTGCTAGGAGGAACTGAGCGAAATACCTATACAGCATAATGTCATTAGGTATGGGTCGCTCAATAGGATCAAGGCGCCACTCCAGTGGACCAAATGTCACTCCTACACTCTTCACAATTTCGTCTCTATCTGCTTCATATCTGAAATCAGCAACATGTGGCCTGAAGCACCTTCACAAGAATATTTTGGCTCACCGTGGCTCCGTATCCTTATCCATCGGAGCAAAATTGCAATACGACTCAGCAAGCCTCGGTAGCCACTCATGGTCGACCATCATAATGCCCTGCATACACTTTCTGTCTCCTAACTGCACTATTTCCTGGTAAATGACATAATCTGGTTCGTCAGTATACATGACGCTGCATGGATCGATGAAAACGAACTCCTGAAAAACAATTGATCTAAAGATTAATCAATTCTTTGTTCTCAAGAATAAAATTAATGACTGTTTTCGAGCGAGTAGCGCTGTAGAGTTCATATTAGAACGATGTGCAGAAAAACTAGCAACTATTTTTAAAAACATGTTCTTAAGGAATCCTATGCACAACATTACCTGAAGTTTCATCGTTTGATATGCACCCTTTGGTACTTCTTCGTTGTCGGCTGACCGATCCACTCGTCGAGCGATGCGATCCGCTAGGCCAGCCACCATCATTTGCCTGAATCGCTGCGAATAACAACCGCCATCCCTACCAAAGGATTTAACATACCTCAACATTTGCGCTTGAGGCATCAGATGGTGGAGGAAGGTGCGGATCCATCACGATATCCGCACTCGATTTGAACGATGTATTCACAATATTAGTTAATTGCACGCGGAGTCGTCGAATTTCTACCATTGCTTTGTGCCTCAATCCCAGATTGGTACATGCTGATGGATTCATCTACAAAACAATAATCACGTATTCAGAAATAAGAAAATATCTAAACTGTAGCAATTCAATTTCAACTCAT